AAATGGGTCTGATCTCTGCAAGTGTTTCTCCCCAAAACTGCTGGCTTGCTTAATTTTCACCAAGTAGCTGTTGTAGCTTTGCTGTTCGTCCCTTCTCTGCCCTTCCTGATCTACCTGGTCCCTGTGGAGCTCCCCAGACCACAGATGTTGCTGCTTTTCCTACCAAAAAGCTAATAATGACCGGAGCGTGTTTCTTCCTGGCAAAAGAATTCATCCCTCTGCCTGCAGAATTCTGTGCTCCAGGGACCTAAGCAGCTCAGTATGGCAGCTCAGCTCTTCTGTGCCACTGGGTCTGTGGAGGGTTTTCCTCCCACCGACCGTGGCCGGGGGCAGCTCTGGAAGGGTTCTCATTACTTTAGCAAAACCCTTGCAGCCTGTTGTCCGGCTGACACACAGCCTGCAGCAGGAGAGACAGAGCTGGCAGCAGGGTGGGAGCGTTGTAGAGAGAGAAACTGATGGAAAATCCCATCTGGTTTAATTTTGGGAAGCTGGAAGGAGATGAAGGTGGCAGGAAACGTTGCCTAGCATGTGTGCGGGCAGCGGATTACATTAGCTGGAGCTTGGAAACACACTTACCCTCACAGCTGCTTGGTGTTTGTCACTACAGAAATGGGGGGATCTCTGGTGGGGATCTGTGTTGCACACGAAGGTGTGAGGCTGAGAGCTTGTTTCTTTGTTTTCCAGTACCCATAGTCCTGAAGTATCACACCTGACGGGGCAGCTGGAGACTTCGGTTGGAGCTGGTTCTGGGATAACCAAACTGCTGTGTAATTTAAGTGAGATATCTGTATATAGCTTTGAAGTTGTTTTTCTCCAAGAAGCGAGGAGGCGGCGGCAAGTAGCCAGTTCTAACAGAGTGTTTTAAGAACTGCCAAATGACCCTTATTTTTGGTTGAGTACCTGCTCCTGCTGTCAGACTTTTTTTATAACAGAAGATTTAGTACTCAAACTGCCTGCCTGTGGAATTCTGGATCTCTGGTTTGGAGCTGGCTACTTGCCACTACGGTTTATCTGTATATATGGTTGAGCTGTATTATTAATAATAATACCCTTTGAGCAGTTCCCTGCTGCCTGCTGTGAAAGGCAGAGGGGACTTTGTCCTTTCAGAGCAAAGGAGGAAAAAAATGTCTGAAGAGAAACATACCATTATGTTACAGGGAACTGACCCTTCTGTGGAGAACTGCAAGGGTGTTGCTTCTCTGTTTAAAAAAAAAAAAGAGAGAAAAAGAGAAATAATTAGGTTTTACAATCCAGAAGACTTTCTGGTCCTGCCATGGGAATGCACAAGCTCAGTGTTTTCAGTATTGCTGCTTACAGCTGTGACAAAAGACATTCCAGTAAACTTATTTTTGACTGTACATCTGGAGTTCCTGCACGTCTTCAGTAGTGTTCTGGAGGAGACACACACCTCTCCACTGCCGGGAGTCTCTAGGAAAGGGCTGTTTCGGTGTTTTCTTCACCAGAAGCAAGAGGTGTGTAAGACTAATGATATAAGAGACACAACAGGAGGACAGCAACTCTCCAAAACCACTGCAGGGTGAACAAGCCTGCTTCATGTTCAGAGCCTTCACTTTCAGTAGTGTTCTGGAGGACACACACATCTCTCCACTCCTGGGAGTCCCTAGGAAAGGGCTGTTTCGGTGTTTTCTTCACCAGAAGCAAGGAGGTGTGTAAGCCTAATGATATAAGAGACACAACAGGAGGACAGCAACTCTCCAAAACCACTGCAGGGTGAACAAGCCTGCTTCATGTTCAGAGCCTTCACCGCCTTCACCTAGATGTGGTGGTTGTGGTCCCAAATGCCAGCCTGGATGTGGTGGTTGTGGTCCCAAATGCCAGCCCATTTTCCTTCCCTGTGATCCAGCAAGCTGGGGGTTGTTCCCAGACAGGTGCACTGGGGTGCTCAGGGATGTTTAGGGGCCCCTGTGCTGGACCAGACAGGAGCTGAGCTCTTCCATCCATGGGTAAGACTGCTGTGTTTTAGCTGTCTCCATCCTTGGTCTCGGGTATTGGGGGCATTTCTGTCCGCCCTTTATTTTTGGGACCCTTGTTCTTTCCAGCCCTGAGCCTGGGACTTCAGCTGAGTTGAGATCAGGCTCTACTGGTTCCGTTTTTGCTGTCTCTTTTCTGATGAAGTCCTGCTTAGTGTATGTCTGAAGTAATATTAGAGAGGGGAAACGGTGCTCCAGCTTCCTTCTCTGAACCTGCCCCCAGGACCTTGTACACAGTTTCCACCCGAGTGGCGGTGCGGCTCCATGCTGAGAAGGGGATTAAAAGTGAGCACAGCAGTCTGGAGGGTCGGATGTGATTACAAGCTCTGCTTTGCCCAGCTGGAATATAAATAGGGCTTTTCCCCTCTGTGGACCCTGGTCTCTCCAGGTGGGAAGCAGAAAGCCAAGCTGGGTTTTTCCTCCTGAAGTGTAGTCTGGTTTTAAGATCGCGTACCCATGGGAAGGGACAAAAATCATCCTGCCTATGCCTTTGGCTACTCTCCACCTGCAAGGGAACAACAGGGTGAATGAAGAGGGACTGTGTCTGTCTACAGGGGGGCTGCAGGTCTTGCTGAGCTATGGGTACCTTTTCCTGCCAGCTGGAAAGTGAGTTAATGGCACTGCGAGCCCATGTAACAGCATGCAGTGCCTGCTCTGGCCTGCCTGCTAGGGCAGGCTTCACTCCTGCTGCTGGAGAGTCCTGACAGTACCTCTGCCTTTCTCTCCCAGCCCCATCTTGCTGCTGCTGCACCCACAGAAGGACCTTGGTGCCACAGCAGCACATCAGGACTTCAAATCCCTGCTGGCACCAGGTCTGAGCAAGACAAGTTAGCTTTGCAGTTACCTGCTAGAGGCAAAGCCTGGCTTTAAAGCTGGGCTTGAAGCCCTTGGAAAATGGATGCTCATAGGATGAAGGCTTCGCAGCAACCCTATTGTAGTAAAGAGCTGCTTATAGCTCCTGAATTTGGGAGCTGCTGCTACATCCTCATAGCCCTGTCCTTGCTGGGATGGGCAGACCTGTCAGCAGCATGTCCTTAGGGACAGTTTCCATATGGTGTTGAAGTCTCCTCAGTGCAGGCACCATTGTACCACCCTGAGAAGTGCTGCTCTTACCATCATGCCAGAGCTGCGCTGCTTCAGACAAACGCTTTTCCAGCTGACCCAGATCCATGGGAAATGAGATGGCAACGCTAACGCCCCTGACCGTGGACAGTTTGTGTTTTGTGCCTGCTTCAGATTCATCCTTCGGTACCAGCGGGGACTGAGGGGCCCACCCCAGGCAGCATGTTCTGGCCCTGGAAAAGCACGCTTTCCTTGACAGCTTTGGTGGAATGCTTTCGGATTCATCCTTCGGTACCAGTGGGACTGAGGGGCCCACCCCAGGTAGCGTGTTCTGGCCCTGGAAAAGCACACTTTCCTTGACAGCTTTGGTGGAATGCTTTCGCAGCATCTCCCAGGAGGTTGGGGTGCAAACAGTTGTACTTGAGATGCAGGGCAGAGAAACCTGCCACGTCCAAAGCCTTCAGCACGCTTTCCTAGGTTGCCAGGATTAGGTGTTGACCAGTTTTAAGGTTCGAGTCACTGAATGCCAGGGTTGTCCTGATCACAGACCTTCTCAAGGGACCAGCTCTGGCTGTGAGAGGCACCAGCAGCAACAAATCAAAAGTCCTAATCAGTAACTTTACAGTAATAGAATTTATTGAGCAAGTTTTATAGCTTTTATTTATTTTATTTTTCCCCCAAGGCTGAAAAGACCATTGCACTGTCTGGTCTCAAGTATGTTACAGAGCCATCCTTATGTTACTTTGAGATATCATGGTCTTTATATTGCAGCCTGTGCTATCCCACCCTGGACTAGTGACAGGGAGAACTGTAGTGAGTGGAAAGGGTTGTTGTTTCCAGGAGCGTCTGCATGCTTTGGGGTTGGTTTTCATTTAGGAGACGCTACAAAGGAGATTTTACAACAACAACAATTCCTTCACCCAAGCGTAGGGCCTGTTTTATCCATTCCCTCTTTGTGCAGAAGACAGACCTCCTCGTTAGCTGCTGTTTTCCACATGATTGCTTTTTTACAGGGAACGGCATGTTTTGGCTGGGGTTGTGCGTTCCTCCCGCAGGGCTGGTTCCTCCTCCCATCCTTGCTGGTGTGACCCATTCAGCGAGACCCCTGGGGTCCCCAAACCTGAGGGCATGAGGGCTGCAGGGATAGACACCTGCAGCTCTGATGCAGGTGGGGAGAGGCCTCCCTAGTCCCAGATCTGGGAGCTGGCCACACCAGAGCTGATGAAGGCTCTTCTGTGGGCGCTGTGTCTGAGGTAGAGAGCTGAGTACCGCAGGGGGATAGTTTCCACGACCCTGCTGCTTCACGGGCCGCCGCTCCCTGCTATCTTCTGGCAAGGGAAGCACTGGGTGTCATCGACCCATTCCTCTAGGGCTCCACACTGGGAGAGCAGGGACCATTTCTTGACTCCCGGGTCCAGCTCTCCCCACTGGTGTTTTTGTGACGGCTGCCAGCTGGTCCTGCAACACGATGGAACTTGATCGCTCCCACGTAGGAAATGTGCACGGACGTGCCAGAGATCGGGGAGTAAATAGCAGCAGCGCTTGGAGCGCAATCCACTACCCAGTTCCCCAAACTACATGTGATTCTACTTCAGGGAAAACAGGGAGACGGATCCGCCGGCCACGGCTGCCAAACGCTGGGGAAGTAAACAGGGAGGCGGCCGTCCCCGCCCCGCTGGAGGTGCCGGTGCCCGCTGTCGGCCGGCCCTCAGGCGGAGGGGACCGCGGCCTGAGGCTGTGGGAGCGCAGCAGGGGGGAGGGAGGCGCTATAGCGAGGGACGGGGCCCTGAGGGGGAACCCGGCCTCCTCTGGTGCCTCCGCCGCCATGGCGACCCGCGCCGCTCTCGCGAGACTATCCCTGAGGCCTCCGCGCATGCGCAGGGCGGGCGCCGCGCACCGGCGAGGACCGGAAGTTGTCCCTTTCCTCGGCTTCGCCGGGAGCCTTTCCCCATTGGCTGAGCGCTGCTGGGCGTGGTGCCTCCCCCGGCGGTGATTGGCGGGCCCGGCGCGCGGGCGCCGCGCGGGGTCAGGATGGCGGCGCCGGCTCGGCGGAGCGTGGTGTTCGTAACGGGCAACGCTAAGAAGCTGGAGGAGGTGGCGGGGGAAAAGGGGGTGGCCGCGGTCTGTCATGGCCTGGGCCTCGGCCTGGCGGGGCCGGGGTCTGACGGGCGGGTTTCCCTCCCTTTTCCCTCCTCAGGTCACTCAGATTCTCGGGGACTCCTCTCCCTACGCGCTGGTGGCGAAGAAAATTGACCGTGAGTTGGCGGCGGGGCCCGGGGGGAACGCGGTGGGGCTGCCCGGGCTGGCCCGGGAGTCTCCTCAGTGTCGGCCTTTGTGTCCCCAGTGCCGGAGTACCAGGGGGAACCGGACGAGATCTCCGTGCAGAAGTGCCGCGAAGCCGCCCGGCAGGTCACTCGTTTTCTCCTTCCCCGCCGGTCGGAGAGGGGGTGGGGGTGCGGGAGCTCGGAGGGACCCCCGGCACCTGCGGGGCTTCTGGCCTGGCCCTCAGGAAACTCGGGGGTGCATCCGGAGCTGGCCTGGCCTGGCTGCACTCCCGTCACCCTGCTGTTTCTTGCCTGCGATGGGTGATGGTGACTTCTCACTGGTGACAGAATGTTTAGGCAGTCACACTCCTGCTTCTTTGCCCTCCCGTGTCCCTCGAGCAGCAGGAGGACAACACAGCTCCTTCAGTCCAGCCCCAGTGATTGTGGGAGACTGAGTTTTCCATTAGCTGGAGCTTCTGATAGAACACCTTCCAGAGCTGTCTCTGGGATGGCTGTCCTAAAAGAACCAAGCGAGGGTTGAGACTCAAGGAAAATGCAGGTGTGCCTCCAGGACACAGGCTTTCTCTCTCCTTGTCCCACCATTTCTTCCTGCCAAGAGAGCAGACAGTGTTCAGATCTGCTCGGTTTTCTCCGTGAAAGATCTTCCCCACCATGCTTCAGCCACTCCTGCCTGCCTGGGGAGAAACTGGGTTTGGATATGTCTGCCTGGTATGGATTGCCTCTGAGGTGAAGAGCTCTAGTGGCTGGTTGGTTTTTGTGGTGTTCCTCTTGTCATGGAAACATGGCAATAGAATAGAGCAAGAAACTGAATTTGGAGGTAGTGCTGTCCTCTAGGTCTAATGTTTCCATCTCTTGGGCTTTCGCTGTAGGTTCGGGGACCTGTTATAGTAGAGGATACCTGCTTGTGCTTCAATGCCCTGGGAGGTCTTCCAGGACCATACATGTAAGTAGGAGGGAATTTGCTTCACTTTTTGTGTCCTAGAGTTAGGAGCGCAGGCTGGCAGGGCGTGTTTCACAGGAGATTCTCCACACGCCAGGAGAAATAGGGTCAAGGAGGTGATTACTGCTCTGTGTCCTCAGTTTTATCCTGCACCCCAAGGGCTGATCTTAAACTCCTTGAGCCCTGCTGTAAGTCACAGTGCAGGGTGAGATAGGCAGACCTGAATCTCCTGATTTATGGTGCCTGCTCTTGCAGCCCCCTTGGGAGCCCAGCCCCACAATGCACTCTATGTAGTTAAGGCACCGTGCGTTTCCTCAGGACTCTGGGATGAGTGTCCTGCAGATTCTCACAGGGATCCTTTAATCCAGCAGATAACAAGCTTATTACATTGCAGTGTAGATCCTCCAATAAAATATTGCTCCTGGGATTAATTTTTATTGTAATTAATTCTCCAAACTATCTCTGCTAAACTGAGCAGAGACATAAAAGTTTTATATGATGAAGTTGGGACTAGAACTGGGTGTAAGATGAGAACAAGTTGAGTCAAGAAATGTATCTGAGCATGTCATTGCTCATGAGTAGGAATTGGGTTATTGAGTAGGAATTGGTAGGAATATGAGTAGGAATTGGTTATGGTTGGACTCGATGATCCCAAGGGTCTCTTCCAACCTAGACAATTCTATGATTCTATGATTTACATGGACCTCAAACAGCACTGTTGTTTTCACTGTGTCCCATTCAGTTTAAGAGCTAAGTTCATCTTTGTTGGTAAATAGCCCAGATTGTGGTGATTTGACACCACATTTGAAGACGGATTCAAAGAGTTATGGAAATGTAGTGTCTCAAGGATGCCTGTATTTCTGAGAAATAATAGCAAAAAGTCACCTTTTCTCTTTTCTTCCCTTTCAGAAAATGGTTCCTGGAAAAACTCAAACCAGAAGGTACTGTCTCCTGTGTTACTGCTCTGCATGTAATTTGGTTCTTTCCAAACGAAACGAACACCTGCCTGCGCTGGGTTCTGCTGGGCGGGCTTGCCCACCTCACTGCCCATTTCATAACTGGTTCCTTCCAGTCTGTCCAGCTCTGTCCCTTTGCATTCTCTCCTTGAGCCTGTTCTGTACCTTTCTTCGGTGGATGTTGTTTTCCTCGGTAGCTTCAGCATCATCCCTGCATCCCTAGATTCCCAGACTCCTGCCTCTGCAGGCTTGTGGGAACTTCTTGTCTGTTGTCAGTGTGACCTGGAGGACCTGCTGCTCCCTTTGGCTTCTGTGTGAGGTTCTCTCCATAATGCTCACCTCCAGTGGCGTGCAGCAACTGCCTTTGACCCTGTGGTTGAAAGTGTGACTGCAAATCCCACACTGGCACCAGAGCATGAGTGTGAATCACACTAATTCAGAGTGGGCTTTAGTCCTCTCTGGTGCCACAAAGTCGTTTGCTTCCACTCCCAAATTAAAAGCAGGGCCCTACAGCTCACGCTTTGTTAGATCAGAGGTGCTGGTTCAGTCATACAAGGGACTGGGCCAAGAGCATCCTTGAGCTTTGCCACCTCCTGTAGTTGTTGCTCTTCCTTGTCTCTGTGAATGCAGAATGCTCCCTCGATCCGTCTCTAGGTGGATGCGTTGCGCTCCAATGGAAAGGCAGTAACACCAGGATCCTTTCTGTGTCACTCAGGCCTGTACAAGCTGCTGGCTGGATTTGAAGACAAATCTGCCTACGCTCTCTGTACCTTTGCATTCAGTACTGGAAACCCAGAGGAGCCCGTGAAGCTGTTCAAAGGCCAGACTCATGTAGGTGTTTTGCCCAGGGAAGGGAAGATGCTGAGTGCGAGGGCTATAATGTGAATGTTGTAACAGCGTTGGCTCTGCTGAGGACCATTTTAGTGGCTCCTGGGTCACTGAATGGCCTTGGAGCTTGTTGGGAACAGGCAGAGGGACAGTGCAGCTGGTGGGGAGTGGATGCTGAATGCTGCAGCCCTTTTGCAGGCTACATCAGGCCCCCTGGTCTCTCTCTGGCAGGTTGTATTTGAGTGCAGCTGTTAGCTCTGTTAATTGTGGGGAGTAAAGTGATCGTTGATGTAGGGCAGTGTGATGGAGCACTGAGCTTGGGGCTGCTAATTTTGGTCACTGGGAAGGAGGACAGCGCCACACACTGAGCCTGTGGTGGCCACAGTGTGAGCCGCGGCTGCGTGTCGCTCTGCAGTGTGTTTGAAACCTGACTGTGAGGGAAGTGCTGCGAAACCGTGGCTTACAGGGCATTTTTTGCTATCTTGTGGCAGGGGCTGATAGTGGAGCCCAGAGGTCCTCGAGATTTTGGCTGGGATCCCTGCTTTCAGCCAGACGGCTACAACCAGACGTAAGTGGTGTTTTATCTACAGCTCTTTACATAAGGAAAGCCGGGGTCGAGGTTGTGTGTGGAGAGGAACCCACTTACAAGGAAGGGTGGTGGGGAGAAAAACACCCTCCTGCGTCTGAACATGCTGCGTTCAGAAGAAGAACTGGGTCAGGATGGGGGCTGTTGGCTTTGTCGGCATGTCACTGCAGACACCCCGCTGACTAGTTGAGTGAGGAGCAGAGGGGGAGCTCTCTGTGACTGGGGGAACCCGTGCTGCAGCCTTTCTGCTGCTGAGACGTGTGGTTTCTCTCCCTTCCAGCTACGCAGAGCTGCCCAAGGCAGTGAAGAACTCGATCTCACACCGTTACAGAGCGCTGAGCCAGCTCTCTGCCTTTCTCCAGAGCAACTCAACAGAGCCTGGCTCCATGCCCAGCTAGCCACCCCAGGGTACGGGTACCCTCTGTTGTCCCTGTCACATGCTGCCCCGGGAGAGCTCTGCTCTGCTGCGGGCTGCCATTAAAGCTGCTCCTTCACCGGTACCTCCTTGTTTGTGTTGCTCGCGCAGTGCAGCGGCTCTGGGTTATTTAAGCAGCACGCTTATGCCTCAGGGGAGCCTTGCAGGGGCTGCCGTGCCTGGGATGGCTCCGTCCTGGGTGTGCCCAGGCATCCTGGGCTGCATCAAGAGAAATGTGGCCAGCAGGTCGCGGGGGGGGTGATTCTACCCCTCTACTCTGCGCTCCTGAGACCCCACCTGGAGCACTGTGTCCAGCTTTGGAGTCCTCGACACAGGAAGGACATGGATCTGGTGGAACGGGTCCAGTGGAGGGCTACGAAGATGATCAGAGGGCTGGAGCACCCAGCTGAAGACAGGCTGAGAGAGCTGGGGTTGTTCAGCCTGGAGAAGAGAAGACTCTGGGGAGACCTTATAGCAGCCTTCCAATATCTGAAGGGAGAGACAGGAGAGCCAGAGAGGGACTCTTTCTCAGGGAGGGGAGTGACAGGACAAGGGGTAATGGTTTTACATTGGAAGAGGGGAGATTTAGATTAGATATCAGGAAGAAATTCTTTACTGTGAGGGTGGTGAGACACTGGAACAGGTTGCCCAGAGAAGCTGTGGATGCCCCATCCCTGGAGGTGTTCAAGGCCAGGTTGGATGGGGCTTTGAGCAACCTGCTCTAGTGGGAGGTGTCCCTGCCTTTCCGCCGGGGGAAACGGCAGAGACGTGGGTAGCGCAGAGCACTGAGCCCCGGGGCAGCGGCGGGTCCCGGGTGACGGCTCAGCCCGCCCCGCGGCCCGGAAGGGAAGGCGAAAGCGCCGCTGGGCGCTGCCGTGCGGGACGGGCGAGCCAATGGGAAGCGGCCGGGAGGAGGAGCCAATGGGCAGCGTGTCCGCTGCGGCCAATGGGAGCGCTGCGCACCCGGATGCAGTCGGCGCGGGGCGCGGAGACACGTGCGGCGGGAGCCGGAGCGGAGCTAGCCGGCCATGGAGCTGCTGCCCCGCAGCCCCGGGGAGTTCGGCTCGGCCCGGTACTGGGATCGGTTCTTCCGGCAGCGCGGACAGCGGCCCTTCGAGTGGTACGGGACCTTCCCGGAGCTCTGCCCCGTCCTGCATAAGTACGTCCGGCCCCGCGACAAGGTGAGTCCCGGGTCCGGAACCCAGCGCCGTGTGCCCGGGCCGAGCCTTCCCTGTATCCCGGCCTTAATCTGCCGCCGTGCCCCGGCACAGAGAATGCGAACCCCTGGGGGAGCCGTAAGAAGAGAACGGGAGGGACCCACGGGGAGCTCTGGAATCACAGAATCACAGAATCTTCTAGGTTGGAAGGGCCCTTCAAGACCATCTTGTCCAACCGTCAACCTAACTGACAAAAATAGACACCCACACAACAAGCAAGGAGCATCATCACTAAACCATACCTCCCAGCACTACATCACCCCGTCTTTTGAACACCTCCAGGGATGGTGCCTCAACCACCTCCCTGGGCAGCCCATTCCAATGTCTGATAACCCTTTCAGTGAAAAATTTTTTCCTAATATCCAGCCTGAACCTCCCCTGGCACAACTTGAGGCCATCTCCTCTTGTCCTGTCGCCTGTGACTTGAGAAAAGAGACCGACCCCCACCTCTCTACACCCTCCTTTCAGGGAGTTGTAGAGAGCAATAAGGTCTCCCCTCAGCCTCCTCTTCTCCAGGCTGAATAACCCCAGTTCCCTCAGCCTCTCCTCATAAGACTTATTCTCCAGACCCCTCACCATCTTTGTCGCCCTTCTCTGGACCCGCTCCAGCACCTCAATGTCTGGGGACATTGAATGTCCCCAGAATGGGGAGCTCTGGGGGTTAAAACACCCAGATCGTCCCCAAAACAGATGCAGCAGATGCATCGCTGCTGTCCCCCTGTGGCTTTTCTCTCTGGAGATGTTCTCTGGGGGCTCTGGAGAGTGGGTTTGCGGGTGCTGTGGGTGTGGGTTTCACACATTTGCTCCTAAACACTTTGGGACTCGTTTCCCGGGCGTTCTCACCATCGTGCTGCTCTTGTACCACTCCCCAGGTTCTGGTGGTGGGCTGTGGGAACTCGGAGCTGAGCGAGCAGATGTACGACATGGGGATGTGTGAGGACATCGTCAACATCGACATCAGCGACGCCGTGATCCGTCAGATGCAAGAGCGGAGCGGCAGCAAGAGGCCGAAGATGAGCTACCTGCTGATGGACATGCTTCAGATGGACTTCCCTGATGCCCACTTTCAGGTGGTCCTGGATAAAGGCACACTGGATGCCATCCTCACCGATGAAGAGGAGGCCACTCTGGCCAAGGTGGACAAGATGTTTGTCGAGATCAGCCGGGTCCTGCAGGTAGGAGGGCGCTACCTCTGTGTCTCCTTGGCTCAAGCCCACGTGCTGAAGAAAGCGGTGGAATACTTCTCCCAAGAAGGTTGGGTTGTGCGTGTCCACCAGGTGGCTGGCAGCGGGGACAAGCAGCAGTTTGTCCTACCAGTCTTTGTCTATGTTATGACAAAGTTCAGGAAGATTCCTGGATCGGCACCGCAGATCCTGGAGATCTGCGCCGAGGAGCAGGACAAGCCAATGCGAGTGGAGAGCGCGGAGCGGCTGGTGGCAGCGGTGAAGGACAGGCAGCATTACGCCCTGCTCTGCAGCCAGCTGAGCAAAACCCCCTGTGGGGAGCAGGTTTCTCTGGATCTGTGTGACAAAGAGAGCGGTAGGCCTCGCTACACACTGCACGTGATCGACAGCCCCTCGGTGAAACTTTCCCGGGACAATCGTTTCGCCATCTTCATCAGTGAGTACAGCTTCTCATGGCTGCAATGAGATGGTGCTCTGGCCAGGAGCTGCAAAACGGCCAGTGGTCCTGGCCCTGCTAAAATCAGGGCTGGAGAGGGAAAAAACTTGCCTGTGCGGAGTTTGGTTGATGTTTTAGTCCTGGCTTTGTTGGTGGGACATGTGTTTGCTGGTGATGCAAGCAGAGATCTGGCACAGAGCTTGTTGACTGAGCAGATGCCTGTCTGGCACCAGAGGGAGGCTGCCTTGCCTCCAAGGTGGTGATTCCTGCTTTGATGCTGGTGACAGCAGCTGTAGCATGCCACTGCATTAAGCCAGAGCACAGGAGATGCAGCTGGAAAGGTGTTGCTGGTCTGTGTGGGTGTTTTGACTTGCCAGGGCTGGGCTGCTGATGCTTGGGCCTGAGCACTTGCACCTTGTGGAGATGCATTGGGCTCTGCCAGCAGCACTGTTCCCTCCCTGTGAGTCTGCAAAGCTGGGGCTTAGCACAGCCTGGAGATGGGTCCTGAGGCTGATGGACACCCCTTTCTTATGAGACATGGCTTTTCCAGCCTCCTAAACAGGAGCCTCCCTAAAACAGGGAACGTCCTGGCACTCTTGGTGGCTGCAGAGCATGGCTCTAGGCATGCAGCGGAACCTCCTCGGGATGTCTTGCCATTCCCTGCAGCTCCTCTCTTGGAGGCAGGGGTGGTTACTCAGGGACTGGGACTGGCCCAGGCTGATGGCAGCCCCTTCTCCAGTCCCGCAGGGCAGAGAAACCGAGTGGCTCTTTGGGACGGAGGAAGGGCGGAGGCAGCTGGCTGTCAGCGCGGGCTTTGGGCGCCTGGTCACCGTGGCCCTGCACAGGGAGCAGCACTACGAGGGAATGGCAGCCATCCAGGCAGAGCTGTCAGGGAAGGTGATGGAGCTGGCCCCGCCGGGCCTCCCTGCCCGGCAGCAGGTGAGCCCCACCACCCAGCCCCCTTGCTCGGCTTCCCCAAAACCCCAGCCAGGCTGGCTCTCCACCAGCAGCGAGTCCCCCTTCTTCGAGGGAGACTGAGCTGCATCATGTGAACTGGCTGCCTTGGCAGGGAGGAGGCTGGCCTGAGGTCTAGGTCCTTTGGTTTTTATCTTCAGCTAGCTTCCTTCACTTGGAGGCAGGATTTGAGGTGCCCGCATGGCAGGATTCAGTGTAAAGTCCTTGCCCTCTAAAACCCAGCATCCCAAGAAAACCAGGCATCCCAAAACCCTGAGAGCATCCAGCCCTTTTTTAATCATGGCTTTAACTTCTCCTATCCCTTCTGTTGTCTCCTTCTAGCCACAACTCCCCAAACCTGAGCTCTTGCAAGAAGTCTTTGGATGCTTTCTCCCTGTACCCCCACACGTGTATGGAGGTGGACCCTGATGGCCCACGCACTGGTCCCCAGCTGCCATGTGGCTGCCTACAACACATCCTGCTGCTCCCGTGATGTGTCTGCTTCATCCCAGCTCTTTAGCCCTGGTCAGGAATGCCAGGGTGTGCTCCTGTAGCCTTTCCTTCCTCACACCAGTCCCTATGCTCCCTGCAGGTGCCCTTTCTGTCCGTGGGAGGGGACATCGGAGTGAGAACGGTGCGGCACTGTGACACCAGCCCCCTGAGCGGGGAGTACGTCGTGGAGGATGTGAAGGGGGATGGAACCTGTTACTTCCGACGCCTCATCTTCCTCCGCAACAGGAATGTGGTGCAGTCAGAGGCTCGGCTCCTGGCCTCTGTGCCTCTCCCAGGTACGTGGGGCAGCCGGGAAGGGGTGGGGGCCAAGGGTGACTTTTTGCAGTGGCAGAGAGTGAGATTAATATGGGAGGAAGATAAAAATCCTGCTAGGACCTGCCTTCCTTGTCCCAGGGCTGCTCTGAAAGTGGTTTTGTGTTCTGCTGCCTGCCCTGTGGGTGGGACAGGGGCTGGGGTGGGCTAGTCCTCAAAAAAACATCCTTGTCTGCTGCCTTGCCTTACCAGCTGATGCCTCCTGTCGTACAGGCCAGAAGAAACGGAGGAAGGACAAGAAGAAACCCAGCCCTGCTGAGCCACCCACGGCCATTGACAAGAGCTACCTGTGCTGTGAGCACCACAAGGCCATGGTGGCGGGGCTCTGCCTGCTGGGGGGCCCCGACCCTCTCCCAGGTGACGAAGCCAGTAGTGGGAGGCTGTGCCCAAGGCAGGTGTGGGGCATATGTGTGGGTGTCCCCCATGGCCCAGCTCCTTGGGGAAGGGTTTTCCTGGCTGGGGCATCCCATGTGCCCTTCCCAAAGCTGTTTGGGCAGAGGGGTGGGGTGGGTGGTGTGAGCGTGGCCATCCCAGTGGCTCACTTGAGCACTCTCTGTTGGCAGGAACTCCACTGTCTGTGCTGGTGGTGGGGCTTGGTGGGGGCAGCCTGCCCCTCTTCATCCACGACTACTTCTCACAGGCCCACGTGGCTGTGGTGGAGATCGATCCCTCCATGCTGGAGGTGGCCACATGCTGGTTTGGCTTCTCCCAGGGTGACCGGATGCAAGTGCATGTCTCCGATGGTCTGGACTATGTGGCCAAGCTGGCGGCTGAAGGTACTGTCTTGAAGAGTGTTCCAGGTGCCCCGTCAAGTCCAGTGGGTGACATGCTGGGGAGCAGAATCCTAGGCTGTTTTCACTCTCTGTTTCCCATCCCTGCCCATCTCTTGCCACGTGTCATGAGATCCAGCCTCACCAGGTTTCTGCAACTCATAGGCCTATCCTGTCAATGTGCGGGGAACCTTAGATTTGTTGCTTCTCCCAGCACTGTGGGCTGCTGCTGGGGGTTTCATTTGGGAAGAGAAGCCCTGGGGGAGAGAGTAGTGGCTGTAACATGGCAGAGGGTTGTCTTGACCACCCCATTCATTGCCTCCCCACTGTGCATCGCTCATCTCTTGTCCCATGGGATAATGAGTTTCTGCGCTCCCTCCTGCAGCCCCAGCTCAGTACGATGCCATCATGTTCGATGTGGACAGCAAAGACCTCACAGTGGGGATGAGCTGCCCACCCCCAGCCTTTGTGGAAGAACCTTTTCTGCAGAAAGTTAAAACCATCCTTAAGCCTGAAGGTAGGAGGGGAAATCTGGTGGTGTCCCTGTGGCCAGGCTGTCTGGTCCTGTGCGGGATTTGAGTAATGGACCACTGTTTCTCATCGTGGAGAACAGTGGCCACGGCCATGGCATCTGTCACTCCTGGCTGGTCCTGAATCTGGGTGTTTCAGTGGGTGTTGTGACAGCAGGGAGCAGGGTGTAGCAGGTGGCCTGCAACGCTGCAGTGTCAGGCAGGCTGAGACATCCCCAGGGGGCAAAGAAAGGTTGCGGGAAGACAGAGGGTGTAGGTGGTATCTGGGAACAGATTGTGCAGCAGCCTGCAACCCGTGCAGTGTCAGGGATGTGGACCTGGGCCAAGGGCACTGGAGAGTTGCTAGTACTCCTTGTGCTGCTGCAGAGGAGCCATTTGCACCAGGGTGGCACCAATTCAGCTGTGTTCCCACAGGGAGGTGGGGATCAGGACAGTGTGTGCAGGCTGGTCTGAACTCCCACCTCTCTCTCCCTGCTGCAGGAGTCTTTGTGCTCAACTTGGTGTGCCGTGACATCCGGCTGAAGGATTCTGTCCTGACCACCCTCAGGGGGGTCTTCCCGCTGCTCTACACGCGCCGCATTGAAGGAGAGGTCAACGAGATCCTGTTCTGCCAGCCCAGCCCCGAGGGCCGGCGGGACCCCACAGAGCTTGGGGCACGTGCCCGGGTGCTGGAGCAGGACCTGCGGCAGCCTGGGCGCCCCTGGGACAGCTCGTACGCTCTGGCAGACATGCTGCAGGCTGTCAAGATCCTCTGAGAGGGGTCTCAGTGCTGTTTGAACAAGAGAGGTGTCTCTGCATGGGTGCCGTGGCCCCACAGTGGAGGGGTGCCTGTGGCTGGGATTGCCACCCCTGGGGAGCTGGTGGTGGCCTGGGTCTGCCCGAAGGATGGGACTAACGTGAAGAGGTGCTCCCTGTAGCTTGGCTCCCCAGGAAGGGAACCATGGGAGGCTGTGCAGCCCAAGGGGCAGCTTTAAGGTACTGAGGGGAGGAAGGTGCTGCAAGTCTGGCAGAACTCTGGGTTTGTCCCCATTGCTTTCCCATTGTGGAAAAAACATTCCTCCAACCGTCCCCTTCCCTTCCACCACACATGGCTCCTTCCCTCTGATGCTGCCGCTCCCTGCACCTCCAGCATCCCTGGTCACTGGTGTCTGTGCAAAGCCCCAGCCCTGCCCCAAGCCTGGTTGTGGATGTGTGGGTGGGCTGAGAGCTGTGAAAATAAAGTTCTCAGAGCTGCTCTGAGGCCTGTAGTGCTTTGCCAGGGTTATTTCTGGAGCTACCAGCACCCCTTGGAAAAAGCACAGTTGCCTCCACTCAAGAGCACGTCCTAGGTGCAGGCAGCTGCCCTTTGTACCCCACTGCCCCCTTCCCACTTGCCTTCCCCAAACTGCACCCCACCACATGCCTGTTCCTCCTCTGTGTTTCTCCAGCCATCACCACTGTAAAGTGGAACCTGTAGCTCCTGGGACCCCCAACTCTTCTCCTGCTCTGCCCCTTGGGCCAGCAGGGACCCAGCCCTCTGCTCGGGCCCCTGGGCACACCAACTCACTCACCCAGCTGGGGCAGGTCAGCCTTCCTGCAGGATGAAAAGGCAGTGAGAAAACATTCATCCAGGTGTTCCCAGAGCACCCTGTCCCACTGGGATGTTGGTGGGCTGCTGCTCATCATCTTGTCCTTCCTCAGCAGGATCCAACTCTCCTCCACCTGTGCGAAATCCGACTTTGTTTAGAAAGCCAAGCAAGAAGGTACGTGAACCCGAGGTTTTGGAGCTCCCCAGCCCTGCAGGGGCCAGGGAAAGCACACCCCAAGAGCTCTCACCTCCTGAACTGGTAGGGACCGCAGCCACTGCACCAATGCAGGAGATGGAGGGCTGTTTGTGTCCCGGAGGCACTACAGCAGCTGTGCCAACAAAAAGCATGTCCCTCCGATACCTGTCTGTCACTATACTTTAATTTGACAGTGGGCTCTGCTTTGGAAACTGCTCTGTTCAGATCCCTTCTGCGACGCTCTCTGCCTTATTCCCCTTCACACAGAGGGACAAATCAGTGCCCTACTTTCTCCCTGGGCTGTCCCGCTTCTACGCAGAGGGAGCAGATGCTTTTTTTTAAGTAAGTGTTTTTTGATGGTTCCCAGGCGCTAGAGAGCGGGGTTGGTCTGCTCCCTGCCTCAGATAAAGGATGGTGCGTGCCCTCGGTACGTTGCTCACCACCCAGTCCCTCCTCTGCACTATAGTATGTTTTAAGTCAGCACGTGGTCACTGCTCAACGGGAGAGACAAGGCTGGAGCTCGAGCGGGGTGCAGTCTGCCTGCTGTTGTGCAGCTAGTTTCTAAAGCCCCTCTGTGATGAGCACTTTTTTGAAAGATGTCTATTATCTATCCAGCTTAGCAGCGGCAAATTTCTCAACTGGCTCAGCAATGCTGCATTTAGTCTATTTTTAACTTAGTTTTCAGTTCTCAACATAATTCCAATGACATAGGTTCATGTGTGTGGCCTTTATTTTACTGAAACCATCTCCTTTCTTCCCCAGGAGCTCATACAAAGGCTGCGTTCATCCCTCCCTTGTCCAGTTCTGCCTTTCTGTTGTGCTTCCTAATCGCTGTGTAACGCCACATCCTGGTGGAAAAACAAAAGCCATCTATTAGAAACAACATAAGGATGAAATCTCAGTTCATTGCAGCTGTTCTTGCAGCTACTGACAGCCCTACAAGTTTGGTCTGAATATACATTTCAGCTGGAAAATTGGCAAATTCGTGAGTGCTGCAAATACCTGAAATCCTCCCCTGCAGGTAGAATGCTCTGAGGCTGGAATAATTGATGTGTAGTAAATATTTCTCTCCTGGCAGCCAAAACGTGCAGCTCATGTATACGTTTGGCAACTGTGTTTCTGTTGAGTGTTTTGGCAATATACTCATGTTTACATCCCTTACTCCTCACTTCCTTCCTTTGCAGCGTAGGCATGCTGCAAGCAGTGGGATGGAAACAAGCACTGCTGTCACTTAGCAACCTCCCTTGGCTTTGAGATGTAGATTTTATTCCTTTCTGGATTTCCCAGCACAAAAAGAGACAGCCGGGTAACTCAGTGCGCGGCTCAGGCGTGAAACTGTAGCCAGCCAGGGATGCTTTGGTCAGGTCCAGCCTGAATCCCTCTCGGATTTGTGTATCCCACAAATTTGTGTCCCACTGCTGCTCCAGCGAGTGAGGTAGTGGGACTTGATGGGTCAGCCCTGAGTTTTGTGATCCAGAACGGCAGGGATGCTTTGGCCCAGAGTAACTCTGTGGCCAGGCAGCTGGCAGGATGGTGAAGGTGTGAAGCAGGCAGTGGCAGGGTGCCACACATATACCCCAGATGGAATGACCTCCTTAGGTGTCGCAGCCCAGATCCCTGCTCTGCAGAAGGACTGGAAGTGGCTGGACTCCCAGGAAGAGGGCAGAGGTGGATGAGGGACATACTGTCACCAGCTGAAAGTACATCAAGCAGCTGGGAGAGATTTTGCAGTAATAGAAGCTGCAGGGACTGAGTGCTGAGGCTGATTCCCTCCAGCTGGGAAGAGCTCTGCTGGAGTGAGCCTGGACTCTTTGGCTGGGGATGCTGCTGCTGCCCAGGCATGGCAGGGTCACAGCACAGCAAGGGCTGCAACAGCCATGTCCCAGAGGGTGGAAGCACCTGGGAAGTGTTTTGTCCGTGAATTTGTCCCCTGGGGAAGCACCGGGCTTGCCTGGGTTTGTGATCAGGGAAGCAGGTGGGCTGCCAGGCTGCAGTGAGGGAGTATGGCTCTTTCCTGGGGTGCTCAGGGCTGCAGGAGAACAGGTCTGTGGGCTGCAATGCAGCCCGGTGGCCTCTTTCTATCCTGAAGCTGGGTACACCTGACTGACGGGTCTGCTGGAGATCACAGGGCAGCAGAGGGGCCACAGGGCAGGGACTGGGGTATCACTGTCCTGTGGTCTGTGAGTCAGTAGTGCCACAGGCTGCAGGGGAGAAGCAGAAAGCGCCTCCTCTTTGCCGGGGGAAATGCTGCAGCTGCCATTTCTAATCACAGCTCTGCAGCCTCTCTGGCTTTCTGTCACTGGCTTTACTTGTATCTTTTGGAGCTTCAAGGTCTGAGCTCTCCTGCTGGCAGACATGCAGGCAAAATGCTGACCAGCAGGTTCATGCCAGCACTGTAGAGCCAGGTGCTGCTGAGAATCTGGGAGCTCCCCTGTGCACGGGGCTCCTTGCCCACACCTCCTCCTGCTTTGTGCCCATCAGCTGCCTGAAAAGCTCTGCAAGACTCTGGGTTTATATCTGAACCAAGAAGGAGGCGAGGAAGGTCCCTGGAGAGAAGGAGATCATGTGTGAAGCAGCCTGCCTCTTTTAAATGCTTCCTAGGGGGAAGGATGCGGCCTCGACTGTGCTCTGCTCCCCCCGGGGTCCTGCCTGCTCTCCTGGCAGGGGACCATGCCTGCCTCTTCACTGCAGGCATCTGCAAATCTCTGTTGTAGTTTATACATAACCCATTTTTCATGAAGGGAATTGTACCGGCGTGTGTTTATAAAGTAGCCTGGGGACCTGATCCAAATGTCCTCAGTCTTAACATCACGCTGCCTGGTTAGGAAGAAGTGTCTGTGGGTAAATTTGTGGGCTGAAATGCTACAGCTGCACCCTGAAACCAGGCTATTTTTGCCTTTTATTTTTTTTCTGGAAGTCAGCTTGCTGTCCATAGGCTTGATCTGAAGTGTGCTGGAGGCTTTAGCAGGGCTGGGGGGCCCCAGGCAGGCTGTGCTGGAGCTGGTGACACCTGGAAGCGAGCAGACTGCACTGATGGAGCCAGCGGGGCCAGCATGCTGCCCTGGGGAGCAGGACACCCTTCCCATCATGCCAGGGAGAGGTGGTCGGTGAAGGTCTTTTCTCCTTGCCAAGCCTGTCACATGGCAAAGGAAGTGATAAATATTGTGGAGCACAATTGAGTGGAGGGTAAAAATAGAGTGTGTTTAGCTGGCTAACCGGTGAGCAACTCAGCTCTGTGCTCCGGCTGCGTGCTCGGGGACCGCAGCTAGTGCTCTCTAGGAAAACAGTTTCTTGCATGGCCCTCTGACACGGGTTTGGGGCTTTTTTTTCAGGGTTATTCATTAAAAGAAGCTTTGCAATGGTCTCTGCTAGTACTGCCCCTGTTTCTTTTAATTTAGCCACTCTGACTCGACAAATTCAGGAAGCCAGGCTGGGCTCCACAAGGGCTTTGGAACAAGCTGCCGGGAGGAATCAGCTAGAAAAAGCAGAGACCTGAAGATATGCTTGGTTGCCCTTCCTCTCTTCTTCTCTGCTCTCTTGGAGCTGTTGGAAAAATGAAAGCATCCTTGTGATAACACAGGCATGCATAATGAACGTGTTCCTGCTTTTTCCAGGAGGTGGGAAATGTATGCTTGTGGCTTTTTTTGGAGGAAAGTACGTTTTTCTGAGTGATGGAGTTGCAGGGTGAGTGTTGAGATTTAGCAGTTTTAACACAGCTTCAACAAGGAAAAAAGTTTTGTTTGGAAACTTCCCAGACTTTTCCTAATCATAGATTATTTTTTTTTTTTCCTTTTTTTTTTTGGTAATTGTGGAAACAAACAAAGATGCAATTTAAAGACCTAATAGAAAGGACAGTTATCAATTTGAAGGTGTGCATAGCATTGCTCCTGAGGCATCCTGCCTTGTTTAATCTTTGTTTGTCTCTTGTTGAGATGCAATCCTATTGCCAGGCTGCTCTCTACTGATCTTAATTATTTCACTGGGGCAGCACAAAGTGCTCCGACACTCAGACAGGGCAGATTTGGCCACAACACAATACTGTTCTTCCCGACTTCCAGCCTCTGTAGAAACCCATAAACTGGAGGAAGGCCAGGCAGCTACTCTAGTGCCTCCTGGCATAGCCCGCTTGCTCAGGAGTGGAGAAAAAAAATAATCATGCCACTAATTGGCATAATTATGTCAATAACCCCCATCTAGATAGAAATGATTGCAAGGCTTTTCCTCGTGGCTGTGATGCCGGAGAGGTGATCTAACCACAGCGGCAAAGTCACTGCTAGAGCAGCTGTCTCTGTGTTATGCCCATTAAAACCTTTTTACCTAAAGCTAAAGCAAACTGTTCATTTGTTTACAGGGTTAGAAGTCAGCCTGTTGTGGAGAGTCATTTTTTACACTCTGGCCAAGAAGTTTTGATAATCCTCCAGATCGCTAGTATCTGTCAGCC